CCTTGTCATAAAGGAAGTTTATAGTGTAAATTGTTATAGGGGACAGGTTTTGAATCCTAGGTGTGACATTCTTGCATTACTTTGAATCTATTTGGTAGAGTTCTTGACTCCGCTATTGTCTCTTGTGATAATAGGAGCACACACCATTGGTTATGCTCAATGTTTCACATTCAAGAGGAGACTTTTCAACTTCCAAAACTCGGGAAAGCCAGATCCAAACCTTGATTCTTCAATGTTGTCGAATCTGCAAAGCACTTGTCCTAACAGAGATGAATCCAACAGCAAGATTGCTCCTTTGGACTTTCAATCCGTTTCTAGATTTGACAATTCATATTACAGAAACCTTGTGAACAATTCAGGTCTTCTTGAATCTGATCAAGCACTAATGTCAAATTCTCAGACTGCTGATATGGTCAAATCCTACAGCTCGTACCCTTATCTTTTCTACCAAGATTTTGCTGCATCTATGCTGAAGTTAGGAAACGTTGGGGTACTGACTGGACAAAGTGGGCAAATTAGGAAAATATGTGGCTCTGTAAATTAAGCAAGTACTTTTCAGAACTATGTTTAGTTAAATGTTTGATCACAATGTGTATCAAGTGTGTATTACGTAATGAAGGTGATATGATATCAAAGGTGTGCGTTACCAGATATATTGTTCTTAGTATGCATCTCCTTTAATAATAATTTAACTATCAGGTTATGTCCATGTAGATAATTTCGTATTATTTTATAATCCGGTGTGAATTGTGATAACTTTAGCTTGACTATCAATGTGCTAAAACATTGGACTCTTTTATTCTTTGTCCATGTGCGTATTGATGTGATGTAATTCTTCCCTTTTAATTTTAAGTTTTAAGTTTTAAATTCTTTGAATTAACAATATAATAAAGGGGTCGTTTGGTATGATGAATAAGCAAAAATAATTTTGGATAAAAACTTAGTATCATTCTATTCCTTATTGCTTATTAATTTTGAGATAAGTTTTCTCATGATTAAAAATAGTACTGGGATAACTTATACCGTCACAGGGTGTAATAGTAATCGCAAGATAAGTTATTTCAAGATAAAGCAGTAAAATTGAAAGAAGAAATACATAAAGCGCCCCTTTAAGTTGTCATCAACGATCAACTGACCCCATAATGATCATTTAGATACTTCAAGTGTCGATTAAGTAATCGAGTAAATACCCGAGTGCAACAGATCATATGCGTGAGTTACACTTGCCGATGACGTGTCAAATGAACCAATTAGTGAACGACACGTTTAATTTATAATAAAATCTTAACACATATATAATTAACAAAAAAGAAAATGAATTTAAAGAAGGGAAAACCATTTCCCCTCACTTTGACCAAAGCAGCACTCCCC